GAGAACATGAGGAACCAGGAAAATTGAGTTGGGGCACAAATAGACAAGAACAAGAAAAGAGATACCATAATAGAGGGAGCCATTATAGGTTTGAAGAGAGAACTAACACTAGAGAAATGTTCAGAGACCTACAAGGATGACCCCAACTAACAATCTGAGCAACAGTGGAAAGGCTGCTTTAAATGTCTTTCCCTTATAATGAGATAGATAATTAACTTATATGCCATCTTAGAGTCCTTATCTAGTAGCTGATGGAGACAGAAGCAGATACCCAAGGCTAAACACTTAACCCAACTCCTGGAGTCCAGTTGCAGAAAGGGAGGAGTGATGAGCAAAGGGGTCAAGACCAGGCTGCAGAGACCCACAGAGACAGATGACCTGAACATGGGGGGAGCTCATGGACACCAGACTGATAGCTGGGAAACCAGTGTTGGACTGACCAGACCCCATGAATGTGGGTCTCAGTTGGAGGGCCTGGGCAGTCTACAGGACCTCTGTCAGTGGAACCAGGATGTGTCCTCTGGTACATTAAAGGACTTTGGGAGCACGTTCCCCATGAAGGGATACTCCCTTAACTTAGAGACACGAGGGAGGGCCTAGGCCCTACTCCAAATGACTCGGCAGATTTTGATGGTCCCTCCTGGAAGGCCTCACCCTCCCTGTAGAGTGGGTGGGGAATAGGATGGGAGTGGGGACAGGGGGCATGGGAGGATGGGAGGGAAAGGGTCCTGGGATCAATATTGAAAAGAAAAAATATTAAAATAAAAAAGTAATAATTGTTCATTATTTGGTGTCACAGTGACATTGTGGTTATATTTTTAAATCCTTCTTAGAGATAGCTACTGAAATATTTATGGATGGAAATAACTGTTGAGAGAAGGCCATGATTGGGAGACAGAAAAAGAGAATGCATCCTATCGGGGAGTTAGACAACAGTATCTGTACCTGAAGCATTCCTAATATCATAAAAGAAAAGATAGCTTCCTTTCTGACCTGCTCACCAGCCAAGAAATGACATGACTGAGTAGAATAAATCTAAATTAACTGTGTGACCCAGTACCCCAGAGACCACACTCCTCCTAGAGACAAACATTGACCAATCAGGACATCAGGACTGCACTCAATTGCATGGCAGAATTATTGCTGGAAACCCCAATGTAGAGGACAGCTGTCAAATAAAAATCACCATGATCTATTATCGTTGTTGTGAACTCTTGCAGTATACAAAACTAAAGCACAATTTGTCTTTTTCTCCTCTGGTCTAACTTAGGTGAATTGTTTTCACTGCTCACCAACTCCCTCCCAAGATTTTGGGCATAGACACACATACAAGCTAAACACCTACACATAACTCTTTTATTTAAAACAAAACAAAAAAAAAAAAAAAATAAAAGTTTTACCAAGAAAGAAATCCATAGTTGGAACACTATTTTTGTTGGTTAGTTGGTTGGCTGCTTTGGTTTTAAAAGCAGTCCTGGGGTCCTGTGCCTGTTAGACAAGTGCTCTACCATTGAGTTTAATCTCCAGCTTTAGTCTTAATCTTAGATGTAAAGTTTTCGGCTCATTGTTATCCCCCTACACCAACTTTTAGTGTTCTGTTTCCCAGAAGGAGATGTAATGAACTTATGAGAGGCTTAACAAAAAGCAACTGACCTGACCTGGATTCCTGGTTCAGATGAAAAAAATATATAATAGTGTTTCTGATCACAAAATAAATTGGGTTTGCATTCCATTCTGTATTTGGACTTTCATAGAAGCTCCTGTGGAGAGGCAGGTTTCCCAGGCCTACCATCAGAATCTCCAGGTGGAACAAGAGGTAAATTTTATACGCACTCACATTTTGAAATCACAGTTTGAGTTTAAAAAACTTCCCAGAAGAGTGTGGAGAACATTGCATTTGACATTTGGATTACAGAAGAGGGTTCAGTTAGTAGAATAACAGAAACCATTATAGTCTTTACATATATGCAGGAAAAGCCTGGACAACCTTATATGCAAGAGTACAAAATCTCACATCATTCAAAATCTGCTTGTCAATTGCTACCACTCCCATCATGAGAATAATTTCTCTCCCGTAGCTTATAGTAAATAGAAAATTATGATCAAGATAGTAAGGATAAACGGTTGATATTTTGTTGGGTTCACAACATGGAGAACTTCTTTTGTTCATGCCACTTGTACCAGAGGAAAGTGGCACACATCAGATACCTCAAGTGATACCTGGGAAGGCAGCTGTAGATGGTCCTTTTCAGTGTCTTCCTTTCTACCTCACATCCCTTACAACTGCTGAGTGGGAAGGTAATTTCTTCCTCTTCCTGGAGACACAGGGGTGAGAATGACATTCTGCTTTACTGAATCTGCTGCTGCACTGTCCCTTATACTTTCCTTTGTGTACTTTATTTTGTACTTCATTTGACTCTTTATAAGAAGTCCTAAGTTGAATGACCTTCCAGCTGAAAAATGTAAGTATCTCCAAGACCTAGATTGGTACCAAGGCTGCTGGTGGTACCAGCCCCAAAAGAAAAAGGAATAGTAGCAGTAGTTGCTGCTGTTGCTGTTCTCCTCCCCCCTCCCCCCTCCTCCTCTCTCTTCCTCCCCCTTCCCTTCTCATTCTCCTCTTCTTTTTTAAGACAGGGCCTCTCTAAGTCCTCTTGGTTGGATTGTAATTTCTATGTAGATCAAGCTGGCCTTGAATTCACAAATCACAGAGATCTGCTGGCCTCTGCCTCCCAAATGCTGGGATCAAAGTTAGGCACACCCAAGCTCTATTTTGTCTAAAATGTCTAATCCTGAGGAAGGGTTCAGAGACGGTTCTAACAATAATCACTATCACTCGTTTCAAACGTTTAAACAAAAAGAGGTATATTCACATGAGGAATTCTACTTTTACAGCTATTATTATTTAGGTGTGTGTGGTATGTGGAGGAGGTTGAGGTCGAGTCTTTCCCTGTTTGCTCTCCACATTATTTTTTGAGACAGGGTCTCTCACTGACCCTGAAGCTCCAGGGATCTTCCTGTCTGCCCTGTCAACCCAGTGCTGGGGTTACAAATGTACACTGCTATATCCAGCCGTTTACATGGGTCCTCATGTTTTCACGGCAAGTACTTTACTGACCAAGTCATATCCTCAGTCCAGCACCAAAGTTTTCTAGTCATTAACTATTTATATAGACAATGATTCACTGAGTAGCCTGTCTTACTTAAGGTCAAGTGGCACAAATCAGGGTCATTTGCGAAGAGTGTCATAGGGCAAAGGTGTCTCCACCTTGTCTCACACGAAGCCATGTCTGGTTGCTAACCCTTGCCCTGAAAAGTCCCGTGGGAAAGCACCCAATCCTGTACTAGAAACTTGGGGCCAAAATGCCCCAGCTAACTGCTTGCTCTTGGCTCTTGTTAAACTGCTTCCTTGTTTCTTCCTGCAACTGCCAAGCGGGATGTGGGTTTTCCTGTGTTGTCTTTAAAATGTCCTATAATATGCAGCCGGGCCTTCCCTGTGCAAATGTTTTTCATGCTTCTCCTCAGGAAGGTGGGAGCAGACTATCAGTTGGTCCTTTGGTTGCTTTGAGTGGTCTTTGGGTGTTTACACCGTAACAAGAGGGAATCTCAACCGAGACAGTGTTCACCAGATGGGCCTGTGGACAAGCCATGGTGCTTTGTCTTGGTTGACGATTGATGGGGGAGGGGCCAGCAGACTGTTCAGTGTTACCCTGGGGCTAGTGGTCCTGTAAGCTGTAAGAAAGCAGGCTGAGAGAGCCACCAGGAGAAAGCCAGTGAGCAGTGTCTCCTCACCAAGGCCTCTGCATCAGGTCCTGCCCTGACTTCCTTCAGTGACAAACTGTGATGTGTAAGTGAAATAACTCTTTCCTCCCCAAGTTCCTTGTGGTCTTGATGTTTTTATTGTTTGGTTAGTATCTCTTAATTCTTTTTTTTTTTTTTTCTTTTTTTTAATTTATTTATTTTTCTTATTTTATATATCGATGCCAGTTCCCTCTCTGTCCCTCCCTCCCTCTCTTCCACCCTCCCATGCCCCCACCACCACCCTGCCATCCCATGACCCCCCCCTCCACATGTAGGGTGATGCCTTCCTGGAGGGGTCATCTAAATCTGTCAAGTCATTTGGAGTAGGAACTAGGCCCTCCCTCCTGCCTCTAGGTTAAGGGAGTATCCCTCCATGGGGAATGTGCTCCCAAAGTCCTTTTGTGCACCAGGGATACATCCTGGTTCCACTGTCAGAGGTTCCTTAGACTGCCCAGGCCTTCTAACTCAGGCCCATGTTCAGGGGGTCTGAGTCTGTATAATGGGAGTCCATTAGCTCCTCCTTGTTCAAGCTGTCTCTGTGGGTTTCTGTAGCCTGGTCTTGTCCTCCCTCTCTGGATTTGGATTCCAGTTTGGCTCAGTGTTTAGCTGCAGGTGTCTGCTTCTGTTTCCATCAGCTACTAGATAAGGGCTCTATGATGGTGGCTAAGTTACTCATCAATCTCATCATCATGGAAGAGCATTTATGGTAGCCTTCCCACTGTTGCTCAAGTTGTCAGTTGGTGTAAGTCTTCTAGGTCTCTGAACATTTCTCTAGAGTCAGTTTTCTCTAGAAACCTATAATAGCTCCCTCTTTTATTCTCTCTCTCTCTCTCTCTCTCTCTCTCTCTCTCTCTCTCTCACACACACACACACACACACACACACACACATCTATTGTTTTAAATCAGCACTAGAAACCCAAAGTAAGACACTAGAACTCCAGTTTTCCTGCCCTGGCTTCCCTGGTGCTGAGGGTGCATGCATGTGCCACTATGCCCAGCAGGTGATCTTCACGTCTTTGATTGTAGGAATGAGGATCCTCACTTCATAACGAAAAGGCACTGGAGACTCAGAGTAGTAAAAGTCACACAGTTTATTTTACAATATTGCACAATCTGGTAAGGTCACAGGTGTGTATCAGCATGTTCAGCTCATGGAGCCTTTCAGTCATATTTGGTGTCACAAACTTAGAGAAGCTCCAATTAAATATCTAGTTTGACTTTATTCTTTTTATTTAACACTGCTAACTAGCAGAAGTTATCCAAATGTTCAGAACAATATAAATTTACAAAAATTATAATTCCTCTGAACCATGTCTTCTCAAACATTACTTATACCCTTTATAAATTCTTTAACTTCACTCTAAAATTAAAAACTCACTGACACATTTCTGATTTCAAATAACTAAACTAATATCAGAACATCTAGTGAGGTAAATTTTCTTAGCTATTGTATACAAAGTATGAAACACACATAAATCAGTCCCAAACTTTATGTAAAATGATGAGTTTCGTTGACCATTCATTATTTCCATGTGTAAGGGTCAACTGAGACAGTCTTATCAGGTGTTAAAATTTGGTCTATTACCACAAACAAGTAGCTTTAACTGTCCAACAGTGTGGGGTCTCTGCTCAGTTGCTGGTACTGAACCCACAACCAAGGCACCCAGGAAGCAGTTTTCTTCAACAGTGAGACACTGTGAGTTCCGTATTTTCATCACTTTGCAATTACACTGTAATTCCATTCTTCACACATAGAGATATCCCACAGACTTCATCCCCTGGGGTCAAATCACACATTACCTAATAAGGCAGGTTGGATTCAATTCATTTATGTATCCTCAGATCCTATTCTTTTTCCATCTTGCATTTATTATTTGACAATTTCATACATGTATGCCATGATCATATCCATCCCAGATCTTGGCCCCTCCCACTGGGTCTCTTTCCTGTTTAGTTTTGGATTTTTGTTTTCGGAAACCCACTGAGTCTAATGATGCCTTCTGGAATGCTGACTGATCTTGTTGGCTTGGTGATAGATCCTATTCTCTCTCTCTCTCTCTCTGGATCTCATTATGTATTCTGGCTGATCTAGAACTTTCTATGTTATTATGTAGATCAAGTTGATCTCAAAAGCACAGAGATCTGACTGCTTTTGCCTCAAGAGTGCTGGGATTACAGGTGTGTGCCTCCATGTCCTACTCTTAACTGCTTTCATATTTTCCACATTTAGATACCTCACTATGCACTTAGACTTTGCATAATTTTTGTTTTGCTCATTTTATCAGACTTTCACTGAAACTCTCCTTCACACTGTTATATGAGAGGAATAGCTTAAGCAAAAAACATACTTCCTGGCTCTCTGGGGTATGTTCATTAATGTCTCCCTGTTCTTGGATGGCAGGCCTTGGCCTTTGAAGGCTTGGTCTGGGACGACGTATGTTGGGTAGATGTAGGTTTAAAAGGCTTAGATTGGGACTGATGGGGTTTATGTGGCTTAAACTGAGTAGGTCTGGATGGGGAGGATTTAGCTTGGGAGGGCTGAGGATGAGGGGGGTTAGCTTGGGAGGGCTGGGGATGAGGGGTTTTAGCTTGGGAGGGCTGGGGATGAGGGGTTTTAGCTTGGGAGGGCTGGGGATGAGGGGGTTTACCTTGGGAGGGCTGGGGATGAGGGGGTTTAGCTTTGGAGGACTGGGGATGGGTGGGTTTAGCTTGGGAGGGCTGGGGATGAGGGGGTTTAGCTTGGGAGGACTGGGGGTGGGTGGGTTTACCTTGGGAGGGCTGGGGATGAGGGTTTTTTTTCTGAGAAGGTTGAATGGGCTTAGGTTTGACATGTTTCACATGGAACTTGGGTGGATGGGGACTGATCTGGGAGGTAGATGAAAGCTGAGACCCGGCTTGGAAAGCTGGATCTGAAGGCCTTCCCTTTGTCAGCCGTTGAGATCCTTGATGAGGAACTGGTATTTTTCCTTCATGAATGACTCCTGCTGGCTGACAGGATGAAGGAGGATGAGGGTACTTAGTATGAGATGCTGTCCTCATAGGTTTTCTAGTTGTATCACTCAGCTGCATCCCTTGGGCACAGGCTTTCCCAGGCTGTGGCTTCCCTGCTGCTTTTGTTGCTTGTGAGCCTGGAGAATGTGAGTGGCCCAAAGGAGAGACAACTGTCCCAGGCATTTGAAGGGTTCTCTCTGCCTGTAGGCTCTCAGGATGGGTCTGTCTTTGTGATCTCCCATGTGTTCTACTCGAATGATACCCCTGAGAAGTTCCTGAAAAGTTCGTGAATCTTTGCTGTGAATAAAATCTCCAGGGTTGGAAGTGCTGATTACCAAAGCTTTCACCTCCTCTGTGAACCCCTGTATTCTGATGAGGCAAAGGAGAGAACCACTTAGCTCTCTGCTGTGACCCAAAGTGGGAGCTCAGAACAGAGGGGGCTTTCAAGGAAACATGGTAAAAGTTACTTCCAAGTGTGTTAGGCAGGGGCCATGGGTGGACCAGTTGAGGCATGAATCCTAGAGTCTGGTGCAGGTTCTGAGCACCCTGGCTCTCCCCAAGCTGGGCCCCAGGGTCTTTGATTGGCACCTGAGCTCGGCTTTCAGATGGGCTTTTTATCTGACTATCTGTTTGTTGGTTCTCACTGTCAGCTGTTCTAGAGAAAACTTGAATATCTTGAGTAGTTTCAAAGTCTTGATCTACCTGAATCCCCAACTCCCTGGCCAGAGAGGCCATATCTTCTAGGGATACACATCTGAGTGAAGAGGTCATTACTTCCTGGAGGGCAGCTTGAAGGACCTCCATCGTCTTCCTTCTATCCCCAGCTTCATCCACTTCCCAAAACAGTAGCTGTGCCGGCTTCAGTCTCAGGAGCCTTTGGAAAATCTGGGCCTCTTCACTCTCCTTGGCCTGGGGACTGAGGACAAAGTAGCATCTTTCAATAGCATCTTCTCCTAAAAACATCAGCAAGTCCCATTCCTTCTCACCAAGGCAGTCAGTGAAAAAGAAAACGGCTGAGGAAACTTCCACCAGAAAACCAAATTGTGTCCAAAAGCTTTCAAGATCTCCACGCAGGTTGGCCACAGCAACAGGCTTGTGGAAAACAGGAGGGCTTTCCTTTATCTCCTTGTTGTCAGGAAAACACCACGTTACCTCTACCAGGCCACCAGAAATTTGCCGAGGAAGCACAGGAACAGATAGATCCTGATGGAGAAAGATTTTGTGTGGCTTCTGTTGAGAGGAGCTGAGCAGTGTGTTAAGGGTTCTGGACTTGGAGAAGCTACAGTGTCCTAGTCGCACAAAAGAGATGACAGGCATCTTCATGGGAGTCAGAAAATTTTCCGTTTCCCTAGAGGGCTTTCCTGAGGACTGCACTGGGTATGGCTTTAAGTCTCTCATAGCCCCCACCATTAAGATGCTTTTGTTGTTTTCTGCATCTGGCAACAGCAGGGGAAGGGCGAACTGGCACTGGAACATGTTTGACATGACTTCACGTTGCAAAGAGATGTCCGAACAAAGCATGGAGGCACACATGACATCAAGGGGATTAACAGTTTGTATGTCTCCAATTTCTAAATTCTCTATTCCAGCCAGCAATTCCCCTTTGCTCTCCTCATCCACCATCTTGGGCCTAAGGATAAAATCTCTGGCTGTCAGGTCTAATGCCTGAACTTTCATCAGGAAACTCCAGGCTAAGTCTCCTGGAGCTGAGGGTGTCCACTCACTTCCTCGGTCTATGGAAAACTGCTTCACAAAATCTGGGAGAAGCTTTCTGCTTCTATCCATGTTCAAACAGGAGAGGACATGGTGAAATACTCTTTTTCTTTCTGTAAAGCAGAGAGTACTCATTATTGCCTTGTTTAGAATCTGTGTCCTTCCCTTAAAACTATGTCACTGACAATTTCACTCCCAAAGGTTGAAACAATAAAAAAATCAAAGTCTCATTTCACCACCCTTCCTGTCCTGTTTTCCTTCTAAGAGGTATACTAATTTGGCATAGTATGTGTCTTAGTCTGTTTTCTGTTGCTGTAATAAAATGACCAAAAGCACCAGGGAGGGGAAAGGGATGATTTCAGCTTACATGTCACAATCACAGTCTATCATAAAAAGGACTTCAAGCCACGAGCTCAAGGCAGGAAGCTGCAGGCAGGAACTGAAGCAAAGGCCATAGAGGAAAACTCGTTATAAGCTTGCTCTCTACAGCTTGTTCAGCCTGCTTTCATATACAACTCAAGATGTAGGGGTGGTACTGCTCACAGTGGGCTGAGCCCTCCCACATCAATCACTGATCAAGAAAATGCCCTACACCAATATGTCTTCAAACACATTTTATGGAGGTATTTTCTCAAAGGGCAAAGGTGTGAGTATCATAGTTCTAAGGAGAAGGTTTCCCCATATGCAAGTGTTGCAGCTCTGAAGGGAAAGCTTTCCCTAATACAGGTGTTACAGCCCTAAGGGGGAAAGATTTCCCCAATGCAAGTGTTACAGCTCTGGAGGGAAAAGTATTCTGACAGCTGGAGCCAAGGAATACCACAAAGTTACACCATCCAACAAACCTCACACAAGACATTTATTGAGAAAGTCACAGAGAGATGCTGACTCTGCTCTACGAAAAGCATCAGAACTGAGTGGGAGGCAGCATTTCTTGGGGGTGAAGTTCTCCAAGATAGAGATTTCCATAGTGGGGATTGGTAGAATTTCAAGCTCAGGGATTGGTTGGTTTTCAAAACCCAGACGTGAGCTCAATTTTTACCATATAAAAGATGGTTAATAAGCTAGACAACCTGAGTTTCATTACTTGGACTCACATAGTAGAAGGTAAGAACCAACTCCCACAAGCTGTCCTCTGGCCTCTACATGCATGCCATGGTACACATGATCACACACATGTTCATACACATGCACACAAAATAAAATGTAATTAAACAGTATTAGAATTTACATATTGGGTATTCCTCCTTTGGAATTCCTTACATTCTTGAGCAAATTTTTCACTTCCCCTCAATAAATCTATCTTTGCTTTAAAAAAGTTACATGTTATCTCTTTGTTTTTCTTATCTCCCATTTTTACACATATTTATCTAGTTACTAGAAATAGTACTTGTAGAGAAAAATAAGAGCAGATGGCAAGATAGCAAAAGATGTTTCATCTGTTTTGTTTTGTTGTTCCCAGGAGCTTGGGGCAGGTGTGGGTCAGGGTTTCAGATAGCCCCAGATGGCTTTGATCCTCCTTCCTCTACCTCCCAAATGCTAGGATTTACAAACACAGGGCACCATGCCCTATATAACATAAGGTATAAATAAGACTTGGTCTTGGGGTATAGCTTAGTTGGTACAATGCTCACCTAGAGTATATAAAGCCATGTGCTTGGTCCCTGGCACTGAAAATAAACACACAAATAGGAGTTATAGCACAAGCCTGTAATTCCAGCACTTGGGAAGGAGAAGCAGAAAGTATCTGAAGTTTAAAATCATTCTTGGATACATGGTAAGTCTGAGGACAGCCTGATATATATAAGAACCTGTCTCAAAAGAAAAGGCTCTTGAGCTACATGTTTGGTAGAGCCTGTTCTAAGGAATCTATTCTATGCTTTTACTCCCACATCAAACACTTTTGCACTTTTAGTGTGTGTGTGTGTGTGTAAATGTACATGCCATGCATATATGCATGTATGCAACAGTTAAAGGACAATATTCAAGAGTTAGTTCACTCCAAGTCATCTTACCAACATTACTTTCATTTTTAACACATCTATACTTTCAGTACTCAAAAACAGAAAGGTTGGCACACACAAATATCTCTATGTCAGGATGGTAATCTATGTAACAGAACCAGACATCCTGAGACCTCAAAATGCACTGTAAGTTCCTCTACTGACAGTCTCCAATGGTTAAAACTAAAAATTGAAAAACCCAATCTCTTTCTGGTTATGAAGCCACTAAAATTACTAAGGTGCTTTAATCTTAAAACAGAAGTTAATGTTTAAAGTGAACAGCTAGTAACTGGAGATATAGATCAAGCATGGGATGCTTCACTGGTGTGCATACAGGTTCTATCTGTAGTACCAAATAAAACCATGTATGGTGGATCATGCCAGTAATCCTACAACTTTAGAGGAGGCTCAGCAACTCAAAGTAATCCTCAGGTACATGGTGACTTCAAGGCTACCCTGGACATCACAAGACTTTGTCTCATGAGTGTCAAGCCCACTACACAGGAAGGTGTTTATGCCTAGTAGTACAGACCTGAGCATAGCTAGGGAGGTCATAGGCCCCACAGAAGACACACTACATAGCTAGAGAGGTCATATACCCTGTAGGAGAACACACTGCTTCTATTGTACTAAATGAACATGCTGTCAAACTGCCTCCTGATGTATGTGTACACCCATACATAATGTTGCCAACAGCTTTGTCAGACAAATTCCTTCTGCAGCTCACAGCTGACCAAGGTGTTGAGAATAAGTGACTATCCAGTGCTAGCACTTAAAGGAATATCCATCCACCCTTGTGAACAAGGGGATAGATAGGGACAAGGGCCTAAAAATGCTGTCTTCTAGGCATGAAATGGCCATTGCTTTCATGAACTCACAGGGAATGCACAAAACTCTGCCTATGGACATTGTCATGGATGACTGAGAGGCGTTATCAGCAGGTGATGAGCTGCCCATGTTCCAATGTTTAACTGCACACTGCTGCCCTTCAGGGTGGCCCTGAACAACTCAATAGGTCACAAAACAAGAGGACCTGATAGTGGGCAGGAGACTTGTTGAGTACAGGAGGAACTGGGGGGTGTAATAAAAGAGGGTGGTAAATGTAACCTGAATACACGACCTTACATTCATATATGATATTGTTGGTGAATCAATTAATTTAAAAAACATAAAAAATAAATAAGGTATCCCCTGCTACATGGTGGGAAATGACTAAAGAAATCTATGTACTGATAATTAATGTTAACTTCTGCTCAAATGGACAGCCCACCATATTCAAGACCCTGGATCTGCAATTCAATAACCTTCAGATCATAAATACTTGGGGAAATGTTATGTTTATTCTGAAGATTATGACTTTTTTCTTATTATATAGTCCCTGAAAAATAATTATTTACATTCAGTTTACATTTTGTTAGTATGAGTACTGTTGTAGTGATTTAAAGCACACAAAAGCTTGGGAGGGGAGGAAGAGAAAGACAGAGGGAAGATGGTTAATGGGTACTAGAGTGCAAATGGTTAAGAATAACTTCTAGAGCTGGAGAGATAGCTCAATGGCTAGGAGCACTGGCTGTGCTTCCAGAGGTCCTCAGTTCAATTCCTACCAACCACTTGGTGGCTCACAACAATCTACAGCGGTATCTGATACCTTTTCTGGCATGCAGACAAGAGTACTATATATACAAAAATAGATGCATACATTCATGCATACACACATGCATGGATTAATTACATTAAAAGAAAAAAATCACTTGTAGGGCCAGCAAGATGGCTCTGTAAGCAAAGGTACTTTCTGTCAACCTGGTGACTTGAGTTGGACCCTTGTGACTCCCATGGTGGAAGGAGGAAAACAAATCCTGAAAGTTGACTTCTAACCTCCACACCCCTCCCAACACACACACACACACACACACACGCACGCACGCACGCACGCACGCACGCACGCACGCATGCACGCACGCACGCACGTGCACGAAGAGTAACTTCTAATATCTTGTATCAAAGACATCTTTGGTTGAGAACAATTAATTAATTTCTCTAGAGCAGCTAGTGTGAGAGCTATGTTGTTCTGTGCCTGCTTTGAGACAGGGCTTTGTTAGCCCGGGCTGACATCAGCGTCTCTGTCTTCCTTTCCAGTCTTCAGAATGCTGGCATGAACCCCACACCCAGAGAGAGGCTTCTGAATGTGCCCAGAAGAAGTCATACATGTCTGGGAAATACCCTCAGCTGATTTTATAGTTATTGAAATGTTATACTTGTACTTCACAAATATGCATATTACTATGTATTAAACTAAAAGTGATTTCAAATTTGTTTGTTTGTTTGTTTTGGTTTTCTCCAGACAGGGTTTCTCTGTGTAGCTTTGAAGCCTGTCCTGGAACTAGCTCTGTAGACCAAGCTGGACTTGAACTCACAGAGATTCGGTTGCCTCTGCCACTAAAGTGCTGGGATTAAAGGCTTGCACCACCAACACCTGGCTAAAAATGCAATTTTAAAAATAATAAAACATGTAAGAGAATGCGTAGAGGTTAAGTACAGGTATCAAACTTCTTTTTATTTATTTATTTATTGTTTGTTTGCTTGTTTATTAAATTGTTTATTTATGAGACAGGTGTTTCAGTGTGTAGTGATGGCTGCTGGCTACCCTGACACTCACTATGTGCCTCTGGCTGGGCTCAAACTTTCAGTAACCCTTCTGCCCCAGGTTCCTGAGTGCTAGGATTGCAGGCATGAGCCACCAAGCCTGGTTCACAGGTTTAGCTAGCCAGAGGAGGTTCTCAAATCTAGTCCCCTTGGATACTGAATCTTTCTACTGCACAGTCTCCCACTTCCCCAGACCTGGGAACTCCTTTGTTCAATACCCACCTCCAGAAAATCCATGTTAGAGAAACACCATATTTCTGATTAGTTGATTAGCCCTATCATGCCCCCCTCCAGTATGTCTTGGTTCCTTCTTAGTCTACTGATTAAGCTGTCTAATAATTACACACATTGTCTCCATACCTTCAGTGCTTTTCTCTTCCTCTTCCAATGAAATGCCGCTTTCTGAAGCTTCACAACTACTTTCTTCATTAGAAAGCCCCACAGTTTCTTCATACTCACGTTCCCCATCATATACAAAGCACTCTAGGTCATCAAAGGCCCCTTCCTCCACAATGGTCTCCACATCTTCAGGGTACCCAACAGACTCTTGATATTCCCCTTCTAAGTACAGAGAATTGTCTGGCTCCTCGTATCTCTGTCCATCATTTAAGTATGTCATACTCGGAGCTTCATACTCAACACTTCCAAGTGAATGCTCACTCTCTCCAGAGGAGCCTGCAGTTTCCCGAGCACCACTACTTTCCTCATATGTGAAAGACTCAGGTGTCTCCCAATCCACACATTCTTTCTCTTCATAGAGCTCTGTAATCTCTTCATTCTCCGGGGTTTTCTTCCCCTGGGAAAAGCGATCTGCTACAACCCTATTCAGCCCTGGAGACCAGGCCTCTTCAGTCGCCTGCTGTGGGACTTCTGGGAAAAAAAAAAAAAAAGATTCCATTATTGCCTATTTTTCCAAAAAAAAAAATAATAATTTTAAATTACCTTGAGTCTTAAGTCCTCAAAGCATCCACCCATTCACTTTCTTTTTTTTTTTTTTTCTTTTTTCCTTTCTTTCAGACAGAGTTGTCTGTGTTGCCTGAGCTGGCCCAAATGCTTGAGCTCAAATATGTTAGTTCCTCAGCCTCTCCCAGTAGCTGAGGCTGCAGGAATGCAATCTGTCTCTCTTCTTCATTTCACTGGAAGCTTGAATGCCTATTGTGCCTAACCTAATGTGCACAGTAACCAACTGATTGTCAGAACTTTCTTTTTCGTGAGAGAAAAATCACTGCAGCTTCAAAAGTAGTGAAAAGAAGTTTATTTGTTATGAATTAATTATATCAATTTTAATTACTATAATTAATTGGTAATTGTATTAATTATATACTTAACATGAACCACACTCAGATCTCGTTTGAGCTAAGGAAATCCCAGTAACTCCTCATGAATGAGTTGATTACCTTATTGGAATAGTGGATTCTAGAAATAATGAAAGCTATTTTTCCAGGCACATGAGGCTTGTGAGTGTTAGTTTTAATTGTCAATACAACTTAGAATCACCAGGGAAGAGACTCTCAAGTGAGTTTTCGACACTGGGTTGTCCTTTGGGCATGGCTATGGAGGACTGTTTTAAATCAACTCATGTGGAAGAGCCACCCCAGTCACTGAGGGTAGTGGTAATCCCTAGGTAGGGGGTCCTGAAGCAAGCAAGTGTGCATGTATTCCTTCCTCCCTGCTCCTGACTGAAGAAAGGATGGGACTAGCTCTCTCAATCCTCTGCCTGAGTGACTTCTCCCACAGTGAAAAAGTATAATCTGGAATTACAAACTAAAATAACCCACATGCATTTCTCGTTGTTCGAGTACAGTAACTGAAAAGGAAACCAGAACAAGATCTGCCCTATATTAAGGATCATGAACATACACTGTTTTAATCTAAGCCCCTGTCTCAATCATCCCTTAAAATAATCTTGCATCATCTTCTAGATTACTTAAAAAGAAGCTGTATCCCCCTCTAGTGGCCATTTCACAAATTGTTAAACAGTACACTGGACTAGCTCTGCCCCACCCCTATCACTACTTATTATTAACTTTTGTTTCGTTTTGTCGTTTGTTTTTCAAGATAGAGTTTAGCTATGGAACCTGTCCTGGAACTGACTCTATAGACCAGGCTGGGCTTCAACTCAAAGACATCCACCTGCCTCTGCTTCCCAAGTGCTGGGATTAAAGGTGTGCCGCCACCACCTGGATATTACTATCTTTGGTAACATGTCAATTTTTAAAACATTATAAATTTTCACTAGTTCTTATTAATCATACAATAGTGGCATATTCTCTCTCTCTCAGATCATAACTTTGATTATACTTGCCCCACACTGCCCTCTCTCCTCCAGCTAGTCTATTTATTCCCAGCAGATTCTCTACCCTACTTTCTACCACACATATTAAATACACATATATGAAAATGTAGATTCCACTTTTGAGAGAAAACATGTGATATTTGTCTATCAGATCTGATTTCATGTAATATGATCATTTCTGGCTCTAACCACCTTTCTTACAAAAATGATTTTATCCTTTCCTTTTGCTCTTCTGTTTGCTTAATTTTGAGATAGCGTCTCACTCTTAGCCCTGGCCAGCTTGGAACCTGCCATGTAGCCCAGGCAGGTCTACAATTCTTGGTCCTCCCACCTCTGACTCTACAAGGATTACAGACTAACATATCTAACTTTCATTCTCATGACTGGATTATACACCATTGTCATTATATAGCACATTTTCTTTATTCATGCATCCACTGATGGACAAATAGGCTGATTCTGTAAACTACTGTGAACAGTGCCTCAGTAAACATAATGCTATCTCTGTGCACTGATTTCGATTCCTTTGGAGATATAGATAGATAATAGATGATAGATAGATAGACAGACAGATAGATAGATAGATAGATAGAGATATACTAGTTATTTTTGAACCATCTAATAGCTAGTATTTGTGCATACTTGTAAATAACTAGTATAGAAGACTGTATGTGCAGCAGACATCCAAGTGTTTCTATGTGGTGCAGGTGCAGATGCCTGTGGAGCCCAGAGGTTGGAGTTGGGCTGTCTTCCTCACTGGAGAGGCTAGCTGGCCAGCAAGCTCCAGAACTATATCTGTTTGTCTCTACCATCCTGCACTAAGCACGTATGCACACACCACCACAAGTGGATACTGGGAATCTGAATTCAGATCCTCGTGCTTGCATAGCAAGCATTTTACCAAGTGAGCCAATCTCCCCAGCTCTGATAGAAAGGATTTTGACATGGTGTTTGAGGAAAACAGAGATGCCAACAACCATGCTATCTGATATGCTGTTTACATACAATAAAATACCATATTTACTCCCATAAAATAGCTGTGCTATTTAAAACAATACATATTAACATGCAGGGTTATTTTCGTTTTTCTTCTTTCTTTTTCTTTCTTTTCTTCTTCTTTTTTTTTTTTTTTACATGCAAGTTTTTATTTCTGAGTTGGATTAACTCATTTAACAGGATACTTCCCAGATCCATACATATTCCTGAAAATGTCATTTTATTTTTCTTTACAGCTGAATAATATTCCACAGAGAACCTCATTTTTTCATTATCCATTCATCTGTTGGTGGACATTTAGGCTGGTTCCATGTCCTTGCTATCATAGGTAGAGGAGGAATGAACACAAATGTGCAAATATCTGTGATATAATCTGGCGTTCTCTGGTATACACCCCAGGAAGAGAACAGAGGATCATGTGGCAATTCTGTGCTTAATTTTCATGTTCTCCCTTATATACAGATCATAGTTTAAAAGTATCCATGTATATATATATATGAGCAAGTATAAGTGTGGGTATAGTATAAAATTTAAGAAGGAGACCAAGAGAAGATAGCATTGGGTGACTAAGGACAAAATGCTGATAAAAGCACATGAGTCATGAAAGAAGGTTTAAAGTTACTTCATATTTTAAATTTTTTTTTCATGCAACATTTTTTTGGGAGAGGGATTGGGGTAGGGGAAAATGGTTAAAATATAGTATATTAAAAAAAAAAAACTACTTTTTGCCCCTAGTTTGAACTCGATCATAGTTTCTTTTCTTTTTTTCTTTTTTCTTTTTTTTTTTTAAGGTGGATAAATGATAAAATGTATTCCAGAGTAGAAGAATAGCTGGGTGGTACACACTTTTCATCCCAGCAGATTTCTTTGAGTTCAAATCCAACCTGGTCTACAAAGGGAGTTCCTGGACAATCAGGACTACACAGATAAACCCTTTACTGAAGGAAAAAGAAAAAGAAGAGACAGACAGACAGACAGACAGACAGACAGGCAGACAGACAGACAGACAGGGAAAGAGAGAAAGGAGTGGCAGGGGCAGGGACCGGGAACTGGGGCAGGGTCTGAGAAGGACATGGGACAGACTCAGGGAAGGAGGGGACATGGGGACATAGAAACAGGGGACACAGGGACGCAGACAGGAATGGGGGTGGGTACGGGGAAAGGAAAGGACATGGGGACGAGTCAGACATGGGACAGGACGGGGGCTGACACAGGGTGGGGGACACGGGGCGGGGCAAACACGGAGGCAGGGACCATGATGGACACTGCAGCAAGGACGGAGAGGGACACAGGGCACCGGAACAGGGACAGGGTAGGGGACAGGTTCAGACAAGGGGATGGACTTGGGTACAGGAAAGACGTGAGGACCGACACTAGGAGAGGGACCTAGGAACTGGGATGGACTCAGTGACAGGGAAGGACCCAGTACGGACACAGGGACTGACCCAAGGATAGAGAAGGACACGGGATGGGGACAGAGTGACGGGGGGGGGGGGTCACATGGTGACAGGGATGGGGATAGAGTCGGGGACAGGGCAGATACCGGGACCAGGACAAGCGGGGACATGGACTGGACGGACACAGGGACAGACATGGCACACGGGAGGCAGATGAGAACGGGGTAGATACAGGGAAGGACACCACGGGGACGGACAGGAGGATAGGTACAGGAGCGATCATGGGTATGGACTTCGGGAAGGACCTGGGGATGGGGGGTTGGGGGGGGACACAGGTACTGTACGTACACAGGGATGGAGTTGGACACAGGTCAGGGAAGGACACTGGGACGGGGTGGGGGACACGAGGACAGGGACAAGAAGGACACGGGGATGGACTCGGGGAGGGACGACACTGACGGACACTGGGAAGGAGCAGATACAGGGATGGGGCGGACACGAGGCAGGGACTTGACGGGATGGACACGGGGAGGGGGTGGAGTGGGGGACATGGGGATGGACTCGGGGAAGGGGACTGGACACTGGGAAGTGGCGAACACAGAGGCAGGGATAGACATGGGGAGGACTCAAGGGATGGACTCATGGACAGGGAAGAAAGAACACTGGGATGGGCACTAGGACCAGGAGGTTACAGAGATGGGATGGGGGCTGCACGGGGTCTGGGGACACAGGGACAGGGAAGAACAGGGGACCAGGGGGTTGGGAAGGACACAGGATGGACAAGGACAGGGATGGGGTCTGTCACTGGGATAGGGACAGAAATGGTGACTGGGATGGTCACAGGGACCAGACGGACATGGGGACAACACAGGGAAGGACAGGGGAACAGGTGTGGACATGGGACTCGGATGGGAACTGAAACCACCATAAGGACACGAGGAGGGACATGGGGAAGAACTGGATGGAGGGCTGGAAGGAGGGAAGGAAGGAGGGAGGGGAGAAGACGGGAGAGGGGGAGGGAGGATAAAACCCCTAGTGAAGTCCCCTGGCTTAGAACAGCCATCCTAACTGTGTGGGTCACTGTGACACAGAAGTTTGGGATCCGACAACTTGTTGAATGGCTTCCTTAAACTAACTAGCCGTGCTTAGTTGTGAGTTAATGAGAATAAAGTAATTTTTTAAAGAAAGAAAACAAACATATTTTATAGAGTATAGAGTCCCCCTGTCCTTCCCTGACTTTAATTCCAGCAGGCGGAGCTCTGTGAGTTTGAGACCAGCCTGGTCTACAAGAGCGAGTTCCAGGACAGGCTCCAACACCACAGAGAAACACTGTTTCAAAAAAAAAAAAAAAAAAACACCAAAAAAGAAAGAATGAAAGGAAGGAAGGAAGGAAGAATTCTGCTGGCATTTTTATCAAAGAGAACAGGAAGTTACTGATCCCCCTGCTGGTTTATTAAAATACCTCCCCCCCCCCCCAACAACTCTCCCAGTGGCTACCCAAAGGCCTTTGGAGATAGTAATCTCAAAAAGCCCTAGACAGTGCCTTTCCTAACAGTGTGCTCTTTCTAAGTCCCAGCAGGGACAAGGAGCACCTGATTGTGACAGGAAAAAATAACTGCAAAAGTCTGCTCAGCAATTACCATCTCCTAAATAAATGAGATCCATTGTTCCCTGCTTTTAAGACTACACTTTCTGTTTCACATTTCAGTAAGAATCGCCTTAGGAAGTCCAGTCCAAACAACAGGCAACAATTCTTCCTTTCTTTTCTAGGAAATCTGCTTCCTCCCCTTCCTTTAAAATTCAAAAAAACAGAACAACAACAAAAACAAACATATAAACAAAAAAATCAACTTACCCTGCTTTAAGCCCAACGTGGTAGCTGCCTCTGGAAATGCATTAGACAAACACTTGAGGAAAGAACGGCAGCTCTCCTCTCCCTTCTTCTGTATCACAATTAACAGCTTCCTGCTTTTCTTCAAGGGATCTGTAATTTCCTCTAGCATCTCATATTCGTCCTCAGAAATCAGTCTCCGAGAGGTTAACGTGTCCAAGAGTGAATCCGGGTCTTGCTGGAGGACATTAAGCAACTTGGTTCTTTGTCTGTCTATGATTTCTGAAGAAGCACTCTCGGTAGCCATTGCTTCCTAAGAACCAGGAAATGGATTAAGTCATTCTGGCAAGTAAAGAAATGTAAGTTAAAAAGAAAAAGATGGAAATTCCACTTAGCAAAGATAAAATATGTCAAGAATACCTATTGTTGGAGAGGCCAGGGAGGAACACAGAAGGGGAATTAGTCCAGAGAACCTTGTAGTTGATTTCCTGTTGCACTTGATTTTGCTTTATCCTCTCTCTCTCTCTCTCTCTCTCTCTGGGTGTGTGTGTGTGTGTTTGCTCAGTACAGAACCCAACTTTACATGATATCCTGCCATTCGCCCACACCCCTAACCCCCTCTGCTCTTTGATCACAAGACTGAGTTTTATTAATACTGAGCAGTGGGAAACATGGCACAGGCGGTACCACACACATTACAATCCTATTATTGTAAAGGCAGAGGCAGGAGAATCAGAACTGTGCAATTTCACGGTAGCCTAGTCTACACTGTGTTCTAAGCCATCCAGGGCCATGAGAGAGCTTCTCTCAATAAAACAAAACAAAAGGGGAAGGGAGGCTGGGCACTTCCCCTAGGAAGGTCCCCTTGAACTTCAAACTGGGCTAGGTGTTCCTGCCCTAGGCATTGTAGTATGATGATATAAATGTAAATTAATTGATTTGTGGAGAGTAATCTTCAATATGCATTTAACCATTTAAAATATGTAACTTTCTTTTCTTCTCTGTTCTTATTTTTGGTTTTTTGAGACAGGGTTTCTCTGTGGCTTTGATGGCTGTCCTGTAACTAGCTCTTGTAGACCAGCCTGGCCTTGAATTCACAGAGCTCCGCCTGCCTCTGCCTCCAGAGCACCTGGCTTAAAAATGTGTAACTTCCAATCCAGCAATCCCACCTTGGAAATTCAGAGGCTGAAGAGGTAGCTTAGCAGTAATAACACTAGCTACTCTTACAGAAGATCTGCCTGGGGTTTAGTTGACACATTCACAAGGTGGTGGCTCAGAGCCACCCATAAATCTAGGGTTAAAGGACTGGACTCCCTCTTCTGGGCAACGGGCATACACATGGTACACATATATACATACAAGCAAAAAACTCACATACATAACAAAATAAATTTAGAGAAAATATTAGATACATGCCAAAAATGTACATATAAATATTCTAAGAGTATAATAGAAAATCAAAAGTAACTTAAATTTCCATAAGTCAGGGCTGTGAAATAAATGAAAACATATATATCACGTATAATATGGGTTTGCTTTTTTTTTTTTTTTTTTGAGACATGGTTTTTCTATATAACAGCCTTGGCTATCCTAGAACTCACTCTATAGTCCAGGCTTGAACTCACAGAGATTTGCCTGTCTTTGCCTCCCAAGGGCTGGGATTTTAAAAGAGTGTGCCACCATACCTGGCCAACCAAAGAACCATTGAACTATGAAGATTTGATTTATTTGTGAGATGTCATGTGGGAATTGAATCCTAGTACTGAACAGGTAGCCAGTGTTCTTAACTGCTACAGTCTCTCCGGCATCCTACTAGACTATTAAAATGGATAAAGTAGAACTTGATAAATGATGATAGCCACTTTATAATATTTTGGAAAATAGCAAGTTATAGATCCAAAAAAACCCCAAAAAACAAAAGCAAAAGAAACCAAACCAAACCAAAACAAACAAACAAAAAAAAAAAAAAAAAAAAAACAAACCAAGCTGGGCATGGTAGTATGTGCCTTCAATCCCAGCACTGGAAGAAATAGACAGGCAGATTTCTGTGCATTCAAGGCCAACCTGATCTACACAGAGAGCTGTAGGCTATTTGGGGCTATATAGTGTGGCCCTGTCTCAAAAATAAGCAGACAAACAACAACAACAACAACAATATGTAATCTAGGTATGGTGACACATGCCTCTAACCTCAACATTAGGGAGGCAGAGGCTGAGGGATCTCTGTGAGTTAAAGGCCAGTCTGGTCTACATACCAAGTTCAGAATAGCCAGGATAGTAGAGTAAGATCCTGTCTCAGGAAAAAAAAAGTATGTGCTCAGCATACATATATGTACATATGTGTATATATACACATATACTTCAAATATTTTTTATAAAATAATTAAGAGATACTCCAAATTTTAATACTGGATACTTCTGAGGATGAGATTATAAATAGGGTTATATTTTGTATTTTAAACACTAATATATTTTAGAGCTAGAGAGATGGCTCAACAGTTAAGAGCACTTACTGCTCCTACAGAGGACCTGAGTTTGATGCCCAGCACCCCCATAGTGGCTCACAGCCAACCGTAACTCCAGTTCCAGGAAATCTAATGCCTTCTTCTAAATTCTGCTGGTACTAGTCATGAATGTGGTATACATACACACATACATGGAGACAAAACACTCATACACATAATATATTTTTTAATTTACATTAATTCTTTGAGAGAGGGTCTTTCTAATGTAGCCCAACTGTCCAGAACCTTATGATGTAGACCAGGATGGCTTCAAACTCACAGAGATATACCTACCTCTGCCTCCCAAATTACTTATGTCATCAAATATAGAGAAGTCAGCCTTGTGCCCAACCAGAAGCTTCACCCCTATTAACTAGTATTTATGGTTCTGGAAGTACTGTGTACACTACCAGAGGAGAAAGGTAGTCATCACCCAGCTACAATGGTGACTAGCCTGAAAGACATTTAGGTACATTAGTGGCACAAATGTTATAGGAGTAACAAACATTCTGATTGGATTTAAGGCCACTCCATGAGATGGGACAAATATCTGACAATATCTGGTGGCCAAGGACCTGAAACTAGATAGGTCACAGGCCAAGTGGGAAATCTATTAATATCATTCTACTAAAGGAGCATAGCAATAAAATCACTCCTAATGGAATTTTACGACAGCCACAGACCAGTGCCTCACTCAAGCCACATCAGAGAAGCTTTCTCTTGCAGTATATGGGAGCTACCAGAGACAGCTAGGCGATGTGCAGAGAATGAAAGACTTCGGAATACACCCATCCTAAATTAGCCTTCTATCAGGGCTCAGGGATTTATCTGGAAGAGGAGACAGAAAGATTGCATGTACTAGAAGCGATGGATGACTCCAAGGAAACTGTCTTCCAGACACAACAGGACTGATGCACAAAGAACTCAAAGAGATGTGGCAGCATGCAAAAGACTTGCACATAATCAAGCCAGATGGGGGTCCTAGCACTGAGAGCTTATGTGGACATGGGACCCCACTCCTCCACCCCTAACCAAAAAGGTTCAGGTTTCTGGTAAACTTGGGCACGAGCGCACGTATATACATACATAAGTACGTACATACATACACACACACAGACACACACACACACACACACAGAGAGAGAGAGAGAGAGAGAGAGAGAGAGAGAGAGAGAGAGAGAGAGAGAGAGAGAGAGGTAGAGAGAGAAACTACCTCATATTATGGAGAAGAAAAAATATTTCACTGTCTGATGCCTTCAGTTCTAGTTATGTCTTGGGTAGACATTGACATCTCTCTCAGGAGTTCGCTCCTTGGCAGTTAATGTCCATCCTACTCTTCATGAATCTTTATTTTTCATAGCTCATTGATGTAGATGACCCCACACAAAATAGCTGTTTTAGTAATCATAGCACATGACTATTTTAGGTCACATGACAAATGATGAGCTTGCAGATAGAACTAAGGTTTCAGATTAGCTGACTTGAGATGGAGAAATTATCTAGGTGATCATGGATATAATCACAAGGGGCCTTAAAAGCAGAAGGAAGGAGAAAACAGTAATATAATGTGAGATGGGTTATTATTGGACTGCAAGATGGAAGATAGCAATTAGAGTCTGGGGCAGCTTCTAGAGCAGTGATCCTTAATCCATTCTTAATGAAATTAAGTACATTCTTAATGAAAAAGATGAACTTTCTGTTGGAAGGTTGGAAGGCAATCTTGCCAACATTTTAATTTTCTTTGTACTGTGCTGGAGATGGAAGCCAGAACTTCTTTGCTACTCAAGTACTACACCTCAGCACTCCATTTTAATTTTAGTAAAGATTTTCTTTTTTCTTTTCACCAGGAGAATTGTTAGTGTTTTTAAAATTATGTTAAAAACATTCATGAGATTCATCTCCTTAAAAGATTTTTAAGCCCAGGCTATGGTGGTGCACACCTTTAATCCCAGCACTCAGTAGGCAGGGACAGATGAATTTCAGTGAGTTTCGAGGCCAGCCTGGTCTACAGAGGGAATTCCAGGACACCTAGGGTTGTTACACAGAGAAACCCTGTCATGAAAGACAAAAAAAAAAAAAAAAAAAAAAAAAAAAAAGATTTTTAAGTGTGCAACACAATTTTGTCATCTGTATGTCTGTATGTTCAATGCTACAAGTGGACCTCCAGAATTGATTTCCCATAACTGAAACTAAATCTATGTTGCTTCATGACACTAAATTTGTAGCAACTTGTCATAGAGTCTCCTGAGACTTATAGTTCTGTTCAACCAATTAATGTTTGTTTTCTTTCTCTTGAGTTCTCCCTATCGCTTCCCTGGTCCACTTCCAGTCTACTACTTTGGAGTGGAAAGGAATATGTATTTTCATTTCTACTTCCTCCTCCTAGAAGAAACTAGTACTTAAGTACAATTTTCTAACATGCAAAAAACAAAAAACAAAACCTTCCAATCCTTTAGTGTTCACTTTGTTCTGCTGTGAATTAGCTAAGATTTTGCATGTGATAGACTAGTAAGTCTCATATTTTAGAAAGTAAAAAAAAAAAAACGTAGATGATATGGTAGATGATATGAGATGATACTCATAAATGTCTATATATATTACTCATGTTTTGTACTGGAAGAAGTTGCAGGCCACTGATGCATTAGCATTTATCAAGCAAGTCTGGAGTTACTAATTTCAAAACGATTCTAAAGAACATTTTTACAGTAGAGACTTCCAAGCTGTACAAGTCTGAAGGGTCAGATTTCCTGGTGGCAGCGCGCTGGAAACTGTTATTTAACAAGTTCTACGTGCGATTCCTTGTACGGGATCAAACAATTTGTTACTGCGGGACATCGGCCTGTGTTAGAACTAAGCTCCTACTCTTGCCCGGGATGAGGGTTGGGGGCTGGCGACAGTCCCAATGAAGACGAACCTGAGAAGCTGGCTTTCCAGCCTCGGGATCCCAGTCTCAGCCGCTCACTGCACACACGGTCAGGGGCGCTGTCACGCAGAATGTCCGACTCTCCTCGAGCCCCACGACGGGAATCCACGCCGTGGGCCCAGACCGGATTGCAAACGCTGAGGTTTCGAGGTACAACCGCTGAAAAACTGCAAAAGGTGCAGGGGCCAAAGAGACAGCTTTGGACAACGCCCCTCTAGAGGAGCCTCTGGCTCTCAAGAGGGTGGAGTCGGACGCGTTGGCCACGCCCTTCGGACGCGCTAGCCACGCCCCTCCCGGTCCCAACCACACCACTGCGCCGGAGGCTTGATAGTGCTGCACCTCGCCCGCCGGAAGTAGTTCGCCAGGCGGAAGCTTATCCGCAGGAAGTAGCAGAAGTGCTTTCTCTTCCGGTCTCTTTGGCCTCGGCGGCAGAAGCAAGATGGTGAGTGTGTTGCCTGAGCTCTGTAAATCTCTTTCCATCCTTCTTCCCTGAGCTGCCCTGCCTGCTGTCGGTGCGTGGGTGACAATATTGCGAGTAAGGGGAGTTGCTGCGCCAGGAAAAGGGCTTGCGGTGGCCCGCAGAGGTCGGAGGAACCGCAGCTCTGGCGGGCCGAGGCTTCGGTCCTGGCGCCGCTCTGGATCTCTGGGGTTTGGGAGAACGTACGCATTGTTGCCCCCGGGTAGATGCTTAGGACAGGTTTGGGAACGTTCGGCTCCAACCGCCGAGAAACCGGAGTTTTTTCTTGACTGGAGCTGGGACTAGGAGGCGGACACCTTTGGTTTTGTTTAAGGCGATTTCAAAGTACCGGTGTACGTGCAGAGTGGAACATTGGAGGGTGTGAATTATCGGTAGTGATTTCTTTTAGCTTCTGTGTGAAAGATGTAAAGCTTTGCCCCGTTTTCCCAATGTCGTTACATCGCGTCAGCAGTCGTTTTCCATGAAAATGCCAGAGTACATCGAAAAGTTACTAGATTTCAAAATTGCTTACTAACGCTTTTTACTGTGCAGACGAAAGGAACGTCATCCTTTGGAAAGCGTCGCAATAAGACGCACACGTTGTGCCGCCGCTGTGGCTCCAAGGCCTACCACCTTCAGAAGTCTACCTGTGGCAAATGTGGCTACCCTGCCAAGCGCAAGAGAAAGTGTAAGTGCTTTGGCTGGCTGTGCCTTGAGCCAAGGTGGGGGCATAATAGGGAACTTTTAGTACGTGTTAATTGGCATCTGAAGAACTTGGTCGGTTTCTATGTTGGTTGGGTGGTGAAAGTACCGTAATTTCTAAGGAAATTGGCTGACAGTGGGTATTTGGGAAAACCTTTGGAATCATGTTTTATTAGATAACTGGAGTGCCAAGGCTAAGAGGCGAAACACTACCGGGACTGGGCGTATGAGGCATCTAAAGATTGTCTATCGAAGATTCAGGTAACAGTTTTTGTTTCGGTATCTGTGGATGGGATAAGAGTTAGCCCTGTGGCCTGGTGTCTTTTTTATTTTTATTTTTTCCCTTAAAAGTATCTGAAACACTGAAACATGTCAAGGCTTGTTTTGTGAATGGGGTCTGGAAGGCAGTTAACCTGGCTTGGTCTTGGCTTTAGATTTTGCTCAAGTCTGCTATCCAAAGCTGTTGTGATTGCTAGTTGTCAACCTAGATAGGTTTGGTTTTGTCTTTCACCCTGAAGCCTGTGGTCACAGCATTTTTTTAAAAGTACAGGATGCTCAGCCCCTGTCTTAGACTTTGCTTCAGGGTCTGTATTTTTGGCAGTTGGTTGTAAAAGGAACCCTACTGGGTTCCCACCAAGGTTGAAAACTATGCCTACATAAAGCTGGCTGCTTCCTTTGCTACTGTCCAGCAGTCTAAGACAACTACATCAGAGGCAGTCCATTATGGGGTTGCCCTTGGGGAAAGTGGGGTTTGAGTGATGTGCACTTCTAATTACAGTCTGTACTAGGATTGAAGGTCACATGGCATTGTGAGACTCTAAAACTTTGTGTTTACACTTAACACAATTGCAGGTTTGTGGGCTTGGTGTGTAGCAGTTTGCTAGTGTTTCATAAACTAAGTCTATTTAAAGCCTGTTCAACCTTTCTGTGCTTCAGATCACTTGCCTTCAGAAAGTGAGGTTCCTAAAGTTAGTCTGGTCTGAGTGTCCCTAAGAATTCACTCTTGACTGAGCAGCTTTGAACATGCTGCTATTGGTGATTGTTTTCTGCCACTAAGGAAAGATTGGGGCCTGTCCTTGAATAGGGAAAGGAATAACTGTCATACATAACCTCAGACCAAAATGCTTGAGTCTTTATATTTGAATCGGTTAATTGTAATCTTAAGTGGGGTAGAAATAATGGCTTATCAGTGATGTTCTAAAAATAAATGTCTGAACATATGAATGCTATATTGATTTCAGCATTTAACTGAGATAAGCTTACTGAAGTTATTTTGACTAAATTTAAAAGTAATGTATTGATGTTGCTACATTAACTCTTCTTGTCTTTCACATGGGACAGACATGGATTCCGTGAAGGGACAACACCTAAACCCAAGAGGGCAGCTGTTGCAGCATCCAGCTCATCTTAAGGATTTCAGTCAGTCATAAAATAAATGTTCTGGTTTCGAAAACAGTGTGTGGTCTGTGCTAAGGTATTTTAATGTTAGTTCAGTTTTAGGTTATGTGATTGCCTTGGAATCTCAGTTTCTTTTAATAGCATGCTAAGAACTAGATCTTCGTACATAAGGTTGGTGGTTACTGTAGGGGCTGGGTGAATTCTGATTTGGCAAAGAATCTGAACCTGCCCTAGGACCCAACCTATTTGCTTGTCCCTTGGCATGGAGGTAGATAAAAGATGAGGGAGAAGGCTTGCTAGGGAAGACAACCATTAAAGAGAGGAGTTACTAGAATGGTTATGTAGCATAAGTATGCATCCTAAATTATTAATTCCAGCACTTAGGAGACAGATGTGGACATTTTTCTGAGTTCAAGGACAGCCTGGTTTACAAAGGAAAAAATACACAAAATAAACTGTTAATCCCTGCTATGCCTAGGGTATCTTAAGGTGCTTTCAATATATGAGGTACTTGAAAATCCACAAAACTACTGGTGGAAACTGTCAAGGGTGTTGATTGGACTTTTCTTCTAGTATATGAGACATCTTCAAAGGTGCTTTTGATAATCTGCATTTCATCTTGATGAAATTCATAGCCTGTAGTCTGTTCTGTGGTTACTAATGGCTAAAATAGGTAAATTCTAACAGGATAATCAGACGTTGAGATGAGTGGGGGTTGGCCTTAGTAATTAGGTTTTAGTAAATCTAGAGATGGGAAATTAAGGTGGGCACAGTCACGAGGTAGATAGTGCTTGAAGAATAGCCCTACCTTACCAAGCATAAGAACAGTGAGCTTGTCTCTAGCTAATGCCTCTGAGGGAATTTGTGGTGGTTCTTGTATGTAATGGGTTTAGGGAGAATTGTAGGCACAAGGATAGGCAATGACCAGATAGAGTGTACCTAGATGCAGTTTCGCTTCTAAGGTCTAGTTTGGGTAGGGTGTTTTGTTTGAGGCTGGGTTTCTCTTTAATGGCTCTGCATATTCTAGAATTCACCAGGTCTAGTTTTATTGTCAGGGCTTCACTGTATCTGATTGTCTAACTCAGTCTTGAACTGTGCCACTAAGCAACAAATGTTGGGTTCAATTTGTAGAACTAGATTGGTGTTGAGCTTGTATGGCCAGCCCTACTACTGTGAGTGCTGGAGTTGTCCATGGTCTCACTAACCATGGCTGGCCTGTAACTCAACAGTTGATTGCCTTTCTAGTGCTGGTATTAAAGGCATGAACCACCACACCTGGCTATTCTCAGCTTTATTACTATTTTAGTATTCACAAAAATGTTACATTTTAATTTGTAAGCAAGGATGGTGAGAGGTCTGTGACCTTAGCATTGGTGATGCTAGGGGCAGGAGGAGCTAGGGAGTAAGGTCACTCTGAAATGCATACTGCTTAAATCTAGAGTGGGAGGGGTTAGAGAGATGGCTCAGTGGTTAAGAGCATTGACTGCTCTTCCAGAGGCTCAATTCCCAGTACCCACATGGCAGCTCACAAATGTAATAACAGTTCCAAGAAACCCAACACCCGTGGCAAAATACCAGTGCACATAAATTGCAAGAATAAGTAAACAAAACTGAAGTGGGAGATAAGATTTGTCCTAGTAACGGGTTTGGTGACCACTTTGCCAGACCCGAATTCTCCCTTTAGCCATCTCTGTCTTGATCAAAGTTTGTGGGAGAAGCCCTCTGAGCACCAGCACACCAATGCTTCCTGACTGAGATCAGTGTGACCAGCTGGCTCCTCTGGCCACCTGGAGCTGCATTTGGCCCTGTATCTTCCTTGCCTTGCTGGCCCATCCCCTCACATTGAATTAAGAAATTAGTAGGTTGCTTTTGTCAAGAAGGCTACATCCTTACCTAAATAAATTTAAAGAGAATTCTAAAGCTCCCCACCAAAACAATTTTTGTTTTTAGAGACAGGGTTTCTCTAGCTTTAGAGCCTACTTCCTCTGTAGACCAGGCTTGGCCTTAAATTCACATAGATACTCCTGCCTCCCAAATGCAGGTCTACAAGAGCTAGTTCCAGAAAAGCCACAGAGAAACCCTATCTCAAGGGAAAATTTCCTCACAGGCCTGCTGAATAGAGTAAATTCCTAAAAATCCCAGCACTTGGGTGGAAACAGGCAGATGGATATCTTTGAGTTCCAGGGCTAACTCTTGGTTTGGGCTATGCATGAACATGTCTTAACCCTTAACTGCACACATCCTATCCATATATTCCATTGTGAACAACGGGATATGATTCTTCCCTCAAAACCATCAATTTTACTTCAGTTGTACCCAGCTTTTTGGGTTTTATGTGCCATAAGGCAAACTCCCTAAGTGAAGTTCTAGGGAGAACCTCAATGTTTACCATCATCTGCCTGTGCTTGAGCATGCCAATGGTTAAAATCAGATATATTATGGAAAAGATCTTGCACTGTAGAGAGGTGGTTATATATACATCTGTCAAAATAGAAAACCACCCATACTCTACCTCTTACTAACCTCCCTATGCTGCTTTAAAACAGGATCTTACATTAAACCAGAAATTGCCCATTTTAGCTGAGCTGGTTGAGTAGAAAGCTTTGGTCTACTTACCTGCCCTGCAACACCAGTACACAGGTAGCAGTCATAGCCTTGCCTGCCTGGCTCTTGGTTTTATGAGACTGGGTCTCCATATGTAGTCCTGGCTACCCTGGAGCTTGCATTGTAGATCAGGCTGGCCTCAAACTCAGAGATCTCTTGTCCCTGTTTTAGTGCTGGGATTAAAGGTATGAACCACCATTCCCTGCCTTTTCTCTTTATTTTAATGTAGGTACTAGTCCTTATACCTGCACAGCAAATGCTCTTACTGAGTCTGCAGGGCCCAGTTTTCACTCTTGGGGTAGCCTATATATGATCTGTACTGTTGGCTTTGCTTGAGTAAAGTGTCCTTGCTACTTTTTAACAGCCTGTGAGCCCAGTTCCTTGAATAAGAACACCTTTAATCTCAACACTTTGGAGGCAGAGGTAGGTGGATCTCTGAGTTCGAGACCAGTCTGGTCTACAAGAGCTAGTTCCTAGAACAGACTCCAAAGCCACAGAGAAAGCCTGTCTTAAAAACAAGAAAAAAGAAACCAAGAACTGGGGCTGGGGAGATGGCTTGGTGGTTAAGACCATTTTTTCTAAGTTTGTAGCTAAAAGTGGGAGATTCAGGGTCTAAGGGTAGGTCTGGTGTTCTCAAGTCAGAAGCTGAGGAACAAGCCTGGTAGCAATCACATGGTCTTTCTTTCAGGTGGAAAACAATTATAATCAGCCATGTGGGAATGAGGAAGGCATAATCAGAGCAGTAGCCCTCCAAGGAGGAGCAGATCCCCAGAGGAGGACAGGAAACAGGAAGCCTTCAAAGTGCTGTCCTATTAGTGACGGCTCTTGAGAGAGAATCCTGTGAGACAAAAGCAAGGCATAGTGGTTTAGAATCCCAAGAGTCTTAACTTTTCTAGACAGGTTTCTCTGTAACTGGGTCTTGTCCTGGAACTCTGTAGACCAGGCTAACCTCAAATTCCTAGAGTTTGCCTGCCTCTGCTGGCATCAAAGGTGTGTATCACCACTGTCTGACTGAATCCCAAGAGTCTTGATGTAACTCATTTTGTAAACACAAACTACAGCATAAAAAAGTATTTAACATATATGCTTGTGCCCCCTTCTCTTCCCCCTCCCCCCAGTAATACAGATGCTGTTATCAGTGAGTATTGGAGTGTATTTTCAAGTATTGGAGTGTTTTTCAAGACAGGGTTTCTGTGGTTTTGGAGGCTGTCCTGGAACTAGCTCTTTTAGACCAGGCTGGTCTCAGACTCACAGAAGTCCGCCTGTCTCTGCCTCCCGAGTGCTGGGATAAAAGGCATGTTCCACCACATTCTTTTAATTAATTGAAATTGGTACCAAATTTGCCTTACAGGATGAAATCCATGCTCTTCTAGGCAGGATGTAGAACCAAAATGCTAACTGGTAATACACCACAAAACAGGTGAAAGGCACCACCCATGTACATAATTTTAGCATTGGGCTAACACTTCCAAACATTAACATAGAAGCTGGGCATGGTAGTACATGCCTGTAATCCTAATATTTGTGAGTGGGAGGCAGGAGATTATGAGTTCAAAGCCAGTCTAGTCTGGGCTACTCTATCAAAGAATAAGACTGCAAGCCATTTCAAAATAATTATGGTCACAGCAAACCTGCCCTTTCTTGATCATCTTGGGTAGAAATACAAAACCTAACTTTTAAACATTTATGAATACAACATTAATGAAGACTGGGCTTTTGGCTACCAACCAGGACTTTGAATTTGGACTTTAAATGTGAGAAAAGGTTTCCCGTTAGATGACAGCTGGGCTCTTTGTCTGGCTTGACTACATGTCTTGAAAGTATACACAGACACTGTCTATTAGCAAGATAAAGTGAGGATCAGGGAGATGGCCCAGCAAGTAAAGTCTATAGCTAAGACCCTGACCAACAGAGTCTGAGATCTGCAGTTCAGTCCTAGCAACCCAAGTCAATAAAAAGCCAGGTGATGATGGTGACATACCTGTAATCCAAGGAGGCAGAGGCAGGTGAATCTCTTGAGTTCAAGGCCAGCCCAGTCTACAGAGCAAGTTCCAGGGCAACTCAGAAATCCTGTCTCAAAAAACAAAACATGTGAGATGCCCTCCTACAGGAAGACTGAAACTGAGGCAGGAAAATTGCTAGGAAGCTCTAGGGCTACTAGCTAAGCTGAAGTGTGCAGTGTGGAAGAAATGGAGAACCTTTGCTTCAACAAGGGGGAGACAGCAACAGACCCCCAAAAGTACTCTGATCACAGACATGTGGAATGACATATACACATACAGAAATAAAGATTAAAAAGAAATGTAATATGAGTTACAAATGCAAATCAAATATGTAGTTTTAAATTTTCTCATACACACATTTTTTTAATTTTAAAATGTAAAATTAATCCTGTGAATTAATACAGCATAACCAATGTGTCACCACATAATTGGTACTAAAATTTGAGACATCTTAGTTTT